TTTTCGACAAAGTTTTTAAAGTTACGAACCTGACGAATTTTTTGCCTTTCTTTCGGTAGTGTAAATTTTCTCACAGCGTAGACAAGGCTGTGATCTGAAATTCCCAGGTGAATGACACCTGATCTGGAAATATTTTCTGGTCTATTTGTTAATATTAAATCAATTAGTGTAGCTGATTTAGGAGTTAGCCTTGTAGATTCTTTAATAAGTTGGTCTATCTGATACAGAGAACATAAAAATTGCAACTTACATGTGTGAGGGTCAGGTATAGTCTTACTGACATCACAATTTAGATCTCCTATGAGGATTAGCTCCTTATCTTCATTATCACATTTTGCTAAAAAGCTTGCCCAGTAATCAAATTTATTCATAAGAGAATTTGGTGGTCTATACCATGTGCTTATTAGCAGTGATTTATTGTAGGGTAAACTTAATTCAATGCAGACCATCTCAAGTTTATCAGGGATTAGATCTATTCTATCTGAGAATGATATGTTTTGGCGAACATATAGAACCACACCACCACCAAACCTATTTCGATCTTTACGAATTATATTAAAACCATCAATATGTATCTCATTATTTGAAATCTGATTATCAATTTTGGACTCATTAATTGCAAGAATGTCAAGGGCGTTATTGTTAAGGATTAAGCGAATTTCACCCAGATGTTTCATTAAGCTATTTACATTTAAGTTGGCTATCTTCAAACCTTTACTTTTGGCGATTATGTTAATTTCACTATCTATGCCTAATAAAGAATTGCTTGGCACATCTTGACAATTTACTTGTTCACGTTCATTATCGCATTTAGTAGTTCTGCCAGATGGTTTATTGTGTTCTTTGGAAAATCCTGACGGGAATGTTTTTGTGGGCACAGTGAACTTAAGGATTGCCCATCCCTAAGGAACTTAATAAAATGTGTAGCTAGTATGGCAGTCCCCTTTGCATTTAGATGCAGGCCACTAGAGTTCAAACATGTCTCATCTATTGACATATTACTTATAAATGTCACATCATGCTTAGATGACAAACTCTGAACTTTCTCATTAATTTCTTCTATTTTTGATATTAAATCACTATCTTGTCTCAATGTAAGTCCAGAAATTCCAATTTTAGAATTAGGGAATTTCTGTTTAGCTGTTGTAATAAGTTTTTCCATGTTACCAACACATTCGTCTATAGATTCAACAGGGACATCATTTGTCCCTGCGTGAATAACAACATGAGACGGGTCCGGTTTAATATTAATTTTGGCAAGCTCATTAGTTATTTCTATAGTTGTTTCACCTGGATATGTGAATTTATAAACTTTCCTTTTTGAGAGTTTTACCGGACTAACATTTTTGATTATTGAATCCCCAATAAGTGCAATACCTTTCTTTGGTACTCGATCACTGTTACCACTTGTACCTTGCGTTCTGTCATCCTTGGGCTCTGTAGATTTACTTGTACTCTCAGACATATTTTGACTAAGTGTTGGTTGTTGTATATCAGAATCAATATTAATTACGGAAGCATCAAAGTCACTGTTATTGTTTAGTTCATTTGCCTCGTCCTCTAAAGACGAGAACTGGTTGTGCAGCCTTGTAACCTCGTTACCTTTTTGATTCTCGCTTCTTGTATGAACCGTACACCATGGATTTCTTGGTTGGACAAGTATCCAGCCTCGTCCAAGGCGCTTTGATGTGCTAAGCGGTTGCGTGACGCACGCGCGTGAGTCGAGGTGCTCCCGCGCGCGCGTCACGCAACATCAAAGCCATCAAAGCGCCGGGGACGAGGCTGGCTAGTATCCCAAAGGCCGCGGGTTCGATTACCACCGTGGTCAGGCTAACTTTTCAGCCTGCCCGGTGTGGATATACGGCTCAGTCAATAATAATCTTTATTGTATCGATAAATACATATCGTATGTTACATGAATAAAATTCATGTTATATAAATATGTTACAAATACCTTTTATATCTGGACTGCTAATCCATATTTAAAAATAGGTACGTATAGCGTACATGGCGTTTACTGCGTCCGAAACATAAATGGAGATAACATAAACGAAATGACCGTTTTACTAAGCGATATATCTTCGAAGATTTCCTCGTATTTCTGTTCTTCCATTGTTCGGATGGTTTTTAGCACATATTCAAGAAGACTCATATAAACCTAACAAAGTGTGATACTAGGGACCATAACTATAGTCTTAGAATTATCTGTGTTCTACAGGATAGTGCATTTGTTTGTACCATGTTCCACAACCATTTCGCCGCTCCTCTTCTGTCTCACTACGGTATTACGACAATCTTCGCAAGAGCCAAGTGGATGACCATAATGATACAATGTCATCCCCTCTCTACCATTGGACAGGGCTTTGCGTGAGGACGTATAAGCAGGCCGCTTGACCTTAGCGTCATGACGCGGTTTTGGGGTTCGAACTTCTGAATGACCAGAATCACATGTTATATCCTGTTGCATTGGTTTGCGATGTCCCTGTGCACCCGATTTCTGGCTTTTGAAGAAATTGCTACGGTCGTACCGCCCCTTCTCATCCGGTTTCCTATATCTTTGTACATTCACTTCTGATGCAGCACTTTCGAACACGGTCGAACCTGTTCTGGGGGTTGAACTTGTTTCGGGGGTTGTATGATCTTTGCGGGTCGAACTTGTTTCGGGGGTTGAATGATCTTTGCGGGTCGAACTTGTTTCGGGTTTTGAAGGATCTTTGCCTTTGTTGGTCGAATATATTTCGGGGATTGAATGATCTTTGGGGGCCAAACTTGTTTCAGGGGTTGAATGATCTTTGGGAGTCGAACTTGTTTCGGGGGATAAATGTTTTTTGAGGGTCGAACTTTTTTCAGGGGTTGAAAGATCTTTGGGGGTTGAATTTGTTTCAAAGGTTGAATGATCAGAAGATGCAGAAGTATTATATGGACGTCCATCGCAGTATACATACTGTTGCAATGGCGGGCGATCTCCCCAACAACTTGATTCCTGATCTTTTAAGAAACAACGTCCGTCGTTGTACGCTGGACTCTACTGCATATCTGGTTTTCTACATCTCTGTTCATTCACTTCCGGTTCGGTCAGGCCCGACTGCACGGATGATTCTGGTCTCTGTGGTTCTGGGTCAGCTGTGATCTCGGCGCTTTCAAGCATTCGACTGCTCACTGCTTTATTCGCTCGAACAGGGCTTCGTCCTTGCAGAATTTCCAACTTCATGGGAATTACTTTATTCCCCTCACTAGTTGATTCAAACAAATTAAAACCCATTTGAACTTTAGGTGCTCCAGTTTTCATCTCGATAGTAGCGATAAGCAGTACAAACCTCCCTGGTGTGGGCAGATGGCGCCAAACTGTGTCTTTATCTTCATGGCCGGGCTCGGGTATGTTCATAGTATGATGAGAACGCCAAGAACCAACTACGCATAGACCTTCGTCACGAATTAGTAATTCTCCGACACTGTTTAAATATTGTTCATCTTGAAAGAACCAGGTGGAAGTGCGACGACAGTTTTGACCAGGGCCAATAACCGCTTGAATGACGACTTCGTTTTCGTTCAACCAAAGCCCGAAGATATCACCACCGGTTTCAATATTAGGGTATTGTAATGTCCACTTGCTGATACGGCTTGCTTCATCTTCATATATATGTACTATACAAGATCTGGAATCCATCTGGGGAGGATAAATCAGGCAATCATGCAATGTAACATCAATATTTCGCCGTTACTTCATTTACTCGGAATGACTAAATCACTACGACTGCGTATTAAAATATATGTTTAGCATATGCTAATGCTTATGACAACTAGTTGAACAGTATTACTTATATAAGACATGTGCTTGAAGAAAATGTTCTTGTCGGGCATTACCCAACACATATTTTTATTTTTGCTTGCTAAGTCCTATCGGAAGACACCACAATATCTTGGCCCGATCCACGTTTCCTTACGGCCCGTTTATACTTGCAATTCTTGCTGCGATTTCTAGAGCGGTTTTCTCCTTCTGATGGATGTAAACGAGTAGATGAGTTATGATTGTTCTGAGTACATGCTCTTTCATCTGAACATTCACGACTTATCACTCGTTCACATCCATGTGAAGAAAATCGCACAGAAAATCGCATAAAATTGCAAGTGTAAACGAGCCTTTACGGGGTAAGCATTTTCCTGGTCTCCCGCGGTTTATTATGTATGCATAATTATTTCCAGTTATTTATGGTGATGAGTCAATAAATCTAGCGCTCACATTGAGGCATCAAACTCCATTTCTGTGTATACTGTATTCCTTTAAATAGTTGTTATTAGTATAGAAGAGACTGGGAATAGTATTGTTTTCATTTTCAAAACAAGTTTTACAATACCGTGCAAAACTTGCATGCGTGCTTGCATTTCCTGCTCTTCATAATATAACGATCTAACAAACTCACGCACCGAATATAAAGCGATGAGTTTAGGCACATAGCATCTCCTGTAAGCACAGTTTACATCGCATTTCCATTGCATCACCCTCCATATATATATATATATATACAAGAACTTATCGTTAATAGTCGTAAACTCGACCCTGTATAGCTCAGTTGGTTAGAGCTCAACAGCTGGACTCTGTAGCTCAGTTGGTTAGAGCTGAACAACTGGACTCTGTAGTTCAGTTGGTTAGAGCTCAACAACTGGACTATGTAGCTCAGTTGGTTAGAATTCAACAACTGGACTCTGTAGCTCAGCTGGTTAGAGCTCAACAACTGGATTATGTAGCTCAGTCGGTTAGAATTCAACAACTGGACTCTGTAGCTCAGTTGGTTAGAGTTCAACAACTGGACTCTGTAGCTCAGTTGGTTGGAGCTCAACAACTGGACTCTGTAGCTCAGTTGGTTAGAGGTCAACAACTGGACTCTGTAGCTCAGTTGGTTAGAGCTCAACAACTGGACTCTGTAGCTCAGAGCTCAACAACTGGACTCTGTAGCTCAGTTGGTTAGAGTTCAACAACTGGACTCTGTAGCTCAGTTGGTTAGAGTTCAACAACTGGACTCTGTAGCTCAGTTGGTTAGAGTTCAACAACTGGACTCTGTAGCTCAGTTGGTTAGAGTTCAACAACTGGACTCTGTAGCTCAGTTGGTTAGAGTTCAACAACTGGACTCTGTAGCTCAGTTGGTTGGAGCTCAACAACTGGACTCTGTAGCTCAGTTGGTTAGAGGTCAACAACTGGACTCTGTAGCTCAGTTGGTTAGAACTCGACAACTGGACTCTGTAGCTCAGTTGGTTTGAGGTCAACAACTGGACTATGTAGCTCAGTTGGTTAGAGCGCTGCACCGGAGTCGCAGTACCACAGATTCGATTTTCTGCCAGTGCGATTATAGTTGCATTTTTCGCATCTGTTCCTGGTGAGGTCTGAACTGATTTATATGCAATCTTCCACTTGAAATTCTTATCTACAAAAACCGTTCAACTGTTAGTTCTATCGATCAAGATTTCCAAAATCTCGACATTTATCAGAATCCGTCTTTAGACACTTTGGTTGTACTTAATATTAAAAACATTTGTTTGGTGTAGATTATAAATACTTATACGATGAAGGAAGGTAAAATGTATCGCTGCTTTTGTGATAAATATTTTGTCTACAATGAGAATATAGAATTACAATATCACTAAGTAGTTCTTCTCATCTGGGAAAACCCCTTTGTTCCAGGAAAACAGATTTCACAGGAATTAAAGTTTGGAATTGTGTGGTTATGCAAAGTAGGTATGACTTTATTATCACTTTAATTTCAAAGACATTACAAGTATACTTGCCTTTGAGAGT